TCGAGTATCGACTTATCCCCGCCACAAAAAGACGCATCGGCTAGCATGTCTGAATAATTGAATCGGGTGCTTTCCCAGCCACCCGAGGCATCGCATATAACGTTTCTCAGTTCATCACATACCTAAGCTTGTTAACTCGTCCTCCAGCATGTATTAGGCTATGCTTATCAGTTGCAATGGCAAACTCAATGGCAAGCTGTCATGGCTTATTTTTCAACCACTTCATGGATATAAACATTTTTTCTCAACTGTAGTCGACGTTTCTGCTTTTTCTATTTGAGCATGAGCATGCACAAAACTACCCTTGCGCACGAAATAGAGCAGTCGCTGCCTGTCTTCCCCGATTCACCCCGCACCGGTCCTATACCGTCCAGACGCGACTGTGTGGGTGGTGTTGGGTCACAGAGGTCAGTCACGTGACCAATGGGTCGCAGTCCCCGCCGCCGGCCGGCGATCCTACCTTTCGGCTGTAAATGGAGGGCGGTTCGCTGAGTTGGGCTGGGCATGATCGGCATTGCTGTTGGGATGCGAGCGCATAGCTTGATATATTTGAATCGACTTCGCGACACTGAACACATGAGCTATTTTGTCTGTAAAGAGATAAGTGAAACTTTTAATTCTTAATTCACCGTTCCGTGCTTCTGTCCTCAGGATACTGAAATCCTTCTCCTCCACGCCGCAACCCCCCTCCGGGCTGGACAGGCAACTTTATCTCATGCGGGCTGCTCCCTTGGAGCGGCACCGCTGCTCCCGAGGGAGCGCACCCCGTAGCCGGGTGCAGTGAGTGCCTTGGGGCTGGGTGGCCTGTCCTCTGGACGGGCTCAGCCCCGGCGACTCACTAGGGTGCCTGCCCAGACCAATGTCTCCCCCTCTATCCTATCATCCTCCCGGCTCTGAAATGGTCTTGTCAGACCGAAAGGGCCTAACCCAACAAAACAAAACAAAACAAATAATTCTTAATTTACCTGGGCATTTGAGTTTCTTAATTATTTAATCAATCGGTTTTTTTCCAAAATTCCATATTTCAAAATCATCCTTTTATAATACCCGCATTGGGACTGACGAGGGTAGTGGGTCACATTTCCCACGCGCGTACACTAGCCAAGCATCACGTGACCGATACTCCAACACCCTCTACCGTTATCCCGCGTATCACGTGATCAAACATTTACCGCAGCAAACTGTACCATGACTGGCAGGATTTTTCACAGCCATCCTGTTACGGAGGTCTGGCCACAACCAACCATTCACACACAAACGCAGTCGAGCTCAAATTGTGCGCAGTGTGGGAGCGAATCCGACACAAACCACGGCACGTGACGGTTGCACGGGTCACGTGTGGCTTCGCACCTGACACATGCGGTCAACCTGCGAACTGAGTTGTTCGGGCAGAGTCTCTGTGGATATGGATAGATCACTGACGACGTGACCTGTCTCGCTCGCGTCACCACCACGGTGAAGTCTGACGTTTACAGCAATTGGTACCTCTGTGTCAATCCTAGACTCAGTTAGGTGTTGCAGGGTTGACAGCGACTGTGACGTTGACTTTCGTTGACGATTTTGACCTCGTGTGATGGAGTGCTGGAGCGAGTGTTGTTTCAGTTGAGGTGGGGCTTGCAGTGAGTGTGATAGAGTGCTGTGGGCTGCTGAGTCTTAAAACGATTTGCATGACAGAGTGGAAAGGAAGAGTGATAAGCGAGAGTAAGAAGTGACAATAATAAGCGAGAATATATGTGAGGAGTGGAAGAAATGAGTGAATGAAGGCACGGTGTGGCTTAACTGAGTGCATCGAATGCCAGTGTTTACATGTGAAATGAATGAACAAGCGAACAGTGATCGCAGTGTATTCCGTGATAGAATGAAAACTGAGTTACAGCGATGACGACGTGATGTCGTCCTGTTTCCGGGGCAAACTGAAACAATTTGAAGGCGAAGATGACGAAATCTACAGTTCATTCGACTCTCTGTTGTAAGTTCTACCTACTTTATAGGCAGACGATATCGGTTCTATCAGCTTTACTAACGTTTGCTACTTGCTAGGCTATCACAAGCTAAAAACGTCCCATACCCCGATCTTTATTAACTCATGAAGCTGCCATTTTTACTAGACGAGTTATGAGCGCCATTTTCGTCCAGACAGTCCCGGAGTTCATGATATGTTTGACGTCAAACAATAACGGACTGAGAGTTCCAAATACGACAACAATGACGCACACTGCTACCTCAGCAGTTCCGACCTGCTTGACAGTAACAAAAAACCGAACTCCTGATATGGTTTGGCTGCACGTGGGCTGACGCGCCGCCCTTTGATCATGGAGGATGATTTATATGTTGTTCACGGTTTGTAATTCAAACTTCGTTGTATTTTTCAGTTCTGTGAGAATCAATGAAAATCGGCTTTTGGTGTTTTGTCTTGGCCATTGACCTAGCTGTATATACGCGGACGCAGCCTCTTGGTTTCGGTATCTTCATTGCATCATTTGTCTATTTTTATACTGACGCGTGCTTTTATCACCTCCACCTCAAATAAAAGACATTTTCTTATCCTCTCACTATTTCTATTTTGTATCTCCCTGTCTCAGAGTTTGTCAAAAGCACCTGTGTCAATACTTCCCCATTTATACCCTACATAAAGAGCCAAATTCATCCTTTCCCCTTCCCTACAAACAAATCCTGTTTATGCAATGTCATTGAGGCTCAATGCTTGGACGGACAATCCGTGAGTCACAGGACTAGAAGTAGTGACCTAACGGCGGTATACCGGTCGCTCCGCTCTGCGCGGGGTCACTGGCGAACAGGTGACGTTGAGATGTCCAGTCACCTGGAACGAAACTAGACGGAGGATGGTTCTGAACTGGTGTAGCTGCATGGCCGCGCGAGCGGCTGATATGACCTGAACTCTTGTTTAAAATAAAATGAATGTGGTTAACTCCTAGTCCTGGTGTGTTGTTTAGGTGTGTTGCCCTGGTGCACTGCCCCTCCAGCCATCATGCTCGCTGAGTTCTGGTTGAAGTTATTGAACACAAACTTTCCGACGAGTGCATTGTCCCCCGACTTATGCATGCCAGACTAATACGGCATCAAAATATTGATGAGAAGAGGACGGAAGCTTATCATCTTCAGCCCTATCATTATCATTATCATAAACATCATTTTGTCTCGGTCGGCTAACCCCTGGTGCACAAAGCCCCCATCAGTCACGGACCCTTTTACAGCCGAGGAACGTCAATTGGTGGGGTGGTTGTGTTACGAAGAAGCTGCAGCGTCACTGCACTATTTGCAAAGTCACTGTCCGGGTATTCGAAGGTGTACGTTTGTACGTAACTGGACGGCGCGAGAGTTGGCAGATGCGGCTGAAATAGCCACTGTCGACGGCGACAACAGTCGACAACAGTGGGCTGGAGAGAACATGTAACAAGCACGATCAGCATAATTTGACACGTGCTGGTTTGAATTGCGGACATTGCGACTGGTAAAGGGGCGTAGATATGCCACCGGTAGAGCATCCTCATCGGACAAACAGGATTGGCAGCAGCATACCTACAATTCTGCACGTGCTGGATTCAACGGTCAACCGGAAGCATTCAATGCGCAGCTGCTGATCTGGGTCGCCATGAACTCTGTGCCTTCCTGATCCTCGTGATCGATCAGCTTCACGACCAGCAGCGGTGAATTCATAAATCCTCGCCAGAGGTTACACAGTGAAGACAGATCACGAGCGACAAATATCAGTGGGCTCAGTGCTTACGAGATGACTCGTATATATATAGGGCCTTGGGCTCAGTGTTAAGTTCCCTGTTAGTACGTCACTATTAGTGATCTCATCATCCTTCGGTCATTCGGCTCTCACTGAGATACTCCAAGGCCGGAAGAAAACCTGAACGAGTGTCGTAAATGGCATTTGAAAGAACTGGCTGGGGTCAGTCTTGGTAAACGACTGTTAAATGTAGCTGTTTTTTTTTTTACATATTTCAGTCCACTGTATATTGACACTCTCAAGGAAAAAAAGTAAATTCAGGTACACATTTGCAAACAACAGAATCGTGATAGGAGCTACCAAATGCAGTCACTAGGAACTGCAGTTCATAAGGTTGGACCAAGCTTCGGCTAGGGCCGGGACAGTGCAAATAAAGCATCCGCGGTCGCTGCCGCCGGGGCCGTCAAAGTGACCCCTGTCCGTCTGAACCAACAAACCCTCTTCGTGCGGTATCTTCAACAGTTCAACAACAACAGTTCAACACTGATGCTGTGAGACGTCAGTACCAGGCGATGTGTATAGATCTACGATCCCATAAAACAGCTTCTCTGCGAATTGCATTAAGTGTTCCTTGAAGACTAATGTGTCGACAAAAATTGATTAAGAGTCTTCGATATCATCGGTTTTCATCGGATGAGAAGAGGGTTAGACATACAAATGACTACTTCTCTATTAAACTTTTTTTGCGCCCTAGCCCGCATCTTTCAACACTTCCAGAAACCACTAATTCTGCGATTGTGCGAGTCGCTGGTGTTTTGCTTACGTCTTAAGGTTTGAACGGCCTAGGACCTTGTAAAACTTATATTCGGAATCTCATGTGTCAGTTTTCATTTAGTGTAGTCATCATTCATCTTCATTTTTCTTGCTTTCCGTTCATTTTGTTGCATTCAAATGATGTGTTGATTATAATTGAGTTCGTGGCTGAGCAATATGCCAACTCAGGCGCGTTATGAATATAGAGATGCCGCGAGTTTTTCCTGATCGACAACGGCGCCAACTGTACACAAACGTTGGTTTATGAATGTGGCTTGTATGAGCAGCAGGGCGATCCTTGCAACAGAGTGGTTATGTAGGGGTCACTGTAAATGTTTATCGGCCACTGTAAATGTTTATCGCTCGGTCTGTCGGTCACGGGACCGGGCCGCGTCACCGGATGTGGCGCCTCTGATAGAGGTCAGCCGCACCAAGCTCTGCAGACGTCCTGCCAGCTCCGAGCCGTCAGTCCGAGGTCGGCAGCCGACGCCGGAGGCCTACCTGCTATCCCTGTGCCCGTGTCACCATGTCGGCCCTCAGCGGCGGGGTGGTAATGCTTCTTAGTTTAGCCCTGCTCATCGAGACGGCCGGCTGTGACGGGGGCCATTCCGTCCCGCAGAGGGAGTCTACTCAACGACTGGTGCGTGATGAACTGCAGTCAGGAACGGAACGTCTGGGGAGCAGGCTGGAGTCCAGGATGCAGGCTCTGGAACGCAGAATGGAGTCACGGTTTGAGTCCATCGAAGACAGACTGACTCCGCTCTACTCCCGGATGGAGGAGCTGACCGGCCGACTGGACGGCCAGCAGACTCAGCTAGACCAGGTCGTCGCACAGCTGAACGGCCAAAAATCCCAGCAGGACGAGACGACAGCCACAGTGAACGACCTCACAGAACGACTGAGTGCTATCGCCATCAACATAGAAAATCATGTGGCTGAAATGCGTAAATTGGCTACAAGGCTCGACAGCCAGCAGTCACAGCTGACCAAACTCGATTCTCAACTCACAGAACAAAAAACCATGGACAGTGACGCAACAGTGACTATGGATACAGTGAATCAGCAGTATCCACGTGATTGCAGCGGTCTGCCTGTCGACTCCCCATCTGGAGTCTACCTCCTTCGGCCCAGTGGTGACAGTCAACAGCTACCCGTCCAGGCGTACTGCGATATGGACACTGCCGGAGGGAACTGGACGGTGTTCCAGAGGAGAGACGACATTGAACCCCGCCAGGGCTTCTACCTCGGATGGACGGACTTCAAGGAAGGCTTCGGAAATCTAGCCCAGGAGTTCTGGTGGGGCTTAGAAAAGATATGGCAGTTGACGTCAGCAAAGGACCGACCGTACGAGCTTCGCATTGACCTTGAGGCATTTGACGGCAATCGATCATACGCCATATACCAAGAGTTCCGTATCTCGTCTGAGGTGGACGGCTATAGACTGAGCGTCTCCAACTACACGGGAACTGCCGGGGATGGTCTGCGGCTGAACGTCAATGAGAAGTTCTCGACCCGTGACCGTGACCAGGACGGCTCGTCTGTCCGCCACTGTGCAGAGCGCCGTCAAGGGGCCTGGTGGCACAACGCGTGCGGGTCCAGCAGCCTGAACGGACGATACCAGGACAGCGCTAAATGGACCATCATTGGAATATGGTGGTGGGAGTGGATGGAGTATCAGTCACTGAAGAAGACCGAGATGAAGATCAGGCCCACTTAACTAACCTACACGCAGAGGAGGACATCACAGTTGTGTAGCTACCCCGGTGACACGTGTACGGAGCCTCTGTCACCGTCATTAACTCTTAACACTAACACATATAATAAGCGTTAGAGTGTGGAGTTCTTACTCCACGTAACGTTATATGTTGGTACAACTCGGCGCCTTTTTTGCGGACGGAAGCATAATATGCAATTATTTATACACGCCTTTTTATATTGTACCCAGTGCTTCTATTATCTGACTACACTTAAAACAATTTAACCTGAGACCGGCGAGTATACCGTTGCCTCGTGTGTACTCCTATCCGCAACCATTTTTAACCACCCTCCCAGAGTAAAGCTAGGTCCCATTGCAGTGTAGTCGTACCCATGCCTTAGTGAAAATATCCGTTGAGAGCGGACATGTCTGCTGAGAGTGGGTACGACTATACTTAACATTTTTTTTTCTTACAAACAATAAAGCTGGTGTCAGAAAAAAAACGTTCTATGCAATGGGCCCTAACTTTACTCCTGGGAGGGTGTTTAAAAATTGTTGCGAGTAGGGGTACACTCGAGGCACCGGTTTACTCGCCGGCCTTGGGAATTGTTCTCAGTGTAGATGGTGCTAACTGCTATCTTATGTTTTTGTTTCGGGAACATATAATTGGCATTGTAATGCTTATATAACCTATAGTTATAACTTACTGTTCTTTGTGTGAAAAATATAACTACCTATACAAACTTAATACAAACGTGTTCATGTTGACTGTTATCCTACAGTCATAGTGTAATAATATTATTCTTTACACTATGCTATAATTGCTATAGTCAGTGAGCGAGTAATCGTAGCGAAGTGAGAGAGCGAGTGAGTTTATCTGTGGTTTAACGAAAAAATCTCAGTATGGGCGGCCTGTCCCGCGGCCCGGCTCGGCTCCATGACTCTTTTACACCCTTATATCTCCGAAACTGCTCCACCGATCGACTAGCGGTGTTCTTCATCAGGTATATAGATCTTCTCTTTAAATCATAAAGTCAGCTTCTTCCGATGCACATTAGTGACCAACACGGCACGTGCTACGTGCAAAGTCAGGGGCTCCAAAGTTGTTCCGCTCACGTAACGTTTTTGATATGCCTATATGACAGCAACTTAGAGCGATTGACTTGCGGTATTTTTTTCGGGTAGTTTCGTCTCTTCTATAAGTATCGGACCACTCTCGATGTATGTAAGTGGTCATTTCTGCATGTGCCACGTATGAAACAAGGGAGTGTCAAGTCTGTGACCATTACAATAACTCGGTAATAACGAGACCGATTACGCTGAAAATTCAGACCGGTACTAATAATGATCCACGCAACGCAGAAATATAAGTTTAAAAGGTTTTGTTGGTTCTACTTGAGTTCGTGACTGGGACTTATAGCGAGTCAGGCGCGGTGCGAATTATAGAGATGCCGCGAGCTTTTCCTCGGTCGACAAGGGCGCCGACTGTACACATAAACTGGTTTATGAATGTGGCTACCATGAGAAGCAATATGATCCTTGCGTGATCGGTAGTCTACAACCTCAGCGAAGACAGCAGATCAGCGTGAACAAGGAGAGAAACCTTTGTATCAGTATAGAGCAGACGTCACATGAAGGTTTTCCAACCAAGGAGAGGCGCTATACCCGGAGATGCTTCTTTATAACCAAACCAAAACAAACCTAACCTACCCTGACCTAACCTTACCTACAACCTACAATTCCTACAACCTACAAGCTACAACCTACAGTCCTACAACGCCTCTCCTTGGTTGGAAAACCTTCGTGTGACGTCTGCTCTATTAATGCCGAAACTTTAACTCCAACGCGCTCGTGGTGATAACTTCCCAGCCAGTCAGTAAAGTGTGTCGTCTGGGCGCTATCCGGGCGGACTGGTTGACCTGTCGTGACCTCTCGATCGTGCTGAGGGTGATCGGTGATGATGCAATGTAGATGAGAGGCACCATCGCCTGGTTCCTTTGCCTTTAGTGTCATCGCCCATCGGCGGGTAATTTTTACAAAATACAACCTAGGTAAAATTTCACTTGAAATCGACTTATCATATTCGCGTGCTTAGCTTATAGCTCTATAGATGGTATAGCTGCGGCTTCCAGAAGGTTGCTACTGCGATCCACTGCGAATTTTACGCAAGGTGTCCTTTTACAACCAAATGATTAACAGCCTTTTCTGCAGAGTTCTACCTTTCCGGGGCAGCAGGCCACTTCCCTTCTGCAATTTCTTGTCTGAGTAGCCATGCTGACTGCCGCCTTCTGTCGTTTGGGGAGTACCCAGTTTATATTTCCTGAGGGGAGTGACCCCATCATCTGCTGTACAAGTATAATGTCCAACCGACCCTACCACCTCTCGAGCCTCCGCTGCTCGTGCCAGCCGTTCTCCGCATCCGCCACGCCCGAGTGAGCACGTCTAGACGCTGTGAGCCTCCGCCGGGTATTCATGCTCACACATCCGTGCCCCGGCCAGCCCCGGCGCCTCGCCGCCGCCGCCGCCGCCGCGTCGCACCGCTGCGCCGATTTCCATGGCCTGGGGCGCCGTCCGGCCGGCAGGGGCGTCATCTTGTGGCTGTGGCAGTTCTGACGCGACCTGCGGAGGGCGGGCGGGCGGCACTCGGCGGCGGTGTCGAGCAGTGACCAGTGGCACGCCGCAGCTGTTGGAGTTTGACGTCTGTGGTGCGGTAGGGAGCGAGGGGAGGTGTTGGTGGAGTGGCGAGCTGGTGCTGGTGGTGATTTCGGCTGGTGATGATGGTGATGCCTGATGGTGGGCTTCTGGTGGTGACCTGAGAGCGACCGGGTCTATGACTGGTGGTGGCAATTTCTGGCGATTGTGCTAACTGCTATTGTTCGTGATTTCGCACTGCGAGTCTGTCTGGAACAGTAACGAGAGGACTTCAGTGCGCCGAAAGGTGGTCCCTTGACTCCGCTAAACGCTACTGATCAGGACTGTGTCTATGCTACCGCCTTGAGGTTCAAGGGTACAAATGTCACCCATCTCAGTTGGCCAGTTGTGAGACCAAGAGTGACTCCAAGAGCACGTCTGTGATTGGCATCTTGTGTGTACCTCAGTTAATACGTTTTTGCCCCTTGATGCTCAGTTGTAGTTGCAAAAAGCAGTGCTACTGCTGTGAAAAGAAAGCACAACTAGCGAATGATTTGGACAATACTGCAGGCGGCAAGCTCTGATTGACTTTGTCAAGAAACCAGGCAGAAATACTCATGACAGGTGGTGATTTCGACCTGCGACTACCTCTGGACTTTCTGGAAAGTACCTCTGGGACTCATGAGTGCTAGGTCGCCCCTTTTGGCACACACACAGCTGCTAACTCGAAGAACCAGCCGAGTGGTAAGCGAGTGTAAGCCAGTATCGGAGAACCAGAGCTGGATACCATGGGCAAGTCTCGTCCCCGTGCCAGGAGGCGCAGAGGTCTGCTGACTTTCTGTGGATGCTGCGTCGGCTGGTAAGTCTAAAACGGTCTGACATCCAGCACTGGCCGTGTGGGATGTCAGAAATAATTGCTTTACGCTCAGTTCTGTTCTGCAGTATGAGTGTTGTTTTATACTCATTGCTGTTTCCATTGTTGGGGTCATTGGTGTGTTTTATGCATGTTTCATGTGGTCAGGGATTATTATGATATCTGTTCGTTCATGCGCTGATAGAGATCTCATTTAGTTTATCCTAGTTTTCGTTGAATTTCTACAACGCGAGCCCCGGAAGTTCACACCAATCGCTCCTCAAAATTGGATTTTCACTGCCTTTTGTTTTTATGTTTCAATGTGATGTGAAACTTTAATTGAAGTGTGAAAACATTTAACAAGAATCCTGTACAAGCCCAGGAAAATTAGAGGACCACAGCTCTCGAGAATTTACGCGCTTGTCAGTTGCAGGTGAAACTGGTCCCAGATAAGGACATAGAGGAATGTTCCTTGTATCGAACGGAAACTGCGCGACTGGGCGCGGCACACAGTGCCTGGATGACATTGCAGTTTGTCTTTTATCAGAGTAAAAATTATCGATATAAAACAAAATAATAACGCTATGAACGTATTGTTGCTTATGAAACGGGGACATAGGTAGATATTTTCTGTAGCTTAACGATAATCAGCGATGTCTGTCTTTGATAGTTGGTAAAAGATTATCCAGATAAGGTAATATACCTAATGCAATATCAACCCTCGCGGTAATATAATGCAATATCAACCATCGCATTTTGCTCAACAGTTCCATGTTTGCCATCGTTTCTGGGAGTTTATTGCTTCCTGTTCTCAGAGCTGGGTATTCCCAGTAACTAGCTGAAGGGTTTCTCTGTTAGACTTCAGACACTCACGATCTCTTTCCGATTTCATCGCGTGGAAAAAGCACACACTTATCATCGGATTTAGGGTGCATGCTCCCAACACTTGTGAAGAAATATGAGAATGCATGCATAGAGCGGATCAACATCATTCACTGATTCGCATGGAATCATATTGTGCAGCACTTCTCATGTGCCGTATGATCAATGGACATATCTTTGCGTTATATTAGGTTTCCAAGGAAGAAAACGAGTTACACCATTGATGCATGAGACTCAGGAGGCAGAAACACATACAAAATCGTGTGATCTTGTCTCGGCCATAACTCTTAGAAAGTGGGCGTGACGAACCCATGGCGCATCATTAGGAGGCTGGAAAGACCATCTTGAGCGTAGTTTTGTGGCGTTCAGGTATCTCTGCTCCGCGGGGAATCGCGAGGAAAACTGGAGCAGCGATGGCATGTGTCTAAGTATGCTGACACTGTCGAATTCTAGGATAGAACAAATTTGACCCCTGCACTTTTTCCGTTACGATACAAACGTTTTTTATGGATTTCGATTGCCTCGCGATTATTTGATTGTGCTTATTTTTCATTATAATTTTTAAGTAAAACATTTTTAGGCTATTTTACCGTCTACGATCCAAATTTAGATGGATATTGTAAGATGGTATTCTGCCATCGTATTAATTCCATAGAAGTCGCACGTGCAAGTAAAGGAGTCCTGACAGCCTTGCACATTCGGAAGCATCGCAGTGTATACTGTGTGAACATCGAGCTCCTCCCCACAACTGAACGGTATATAGTCAGTTGTAGATTTTCTGCATCAAACCGCGACTCTTGAAGCGGTTACGGTGTAGATTTTCCCGCGAACGGTCGCATCACTCCGGCTCTCAGCAGCACATAGTCTCGCGCTAGTAATTTAATGTGAGAGTCGCCGGGCTCAAACGCCGTCTCTGAGCGCGCTCTGAACCCACACTGTCGGCTCGAAAATATGTCCGCTATTTGGTTTGACCATTATTTTCTCACGGGCCGTCACGTTCAGTGTTCCATGAGACGTGACTTCGCCTCCACACCTCCGTGACCGCGTCTCCTTTCCTCCCCGCTTAGCGGCTGGCGCTGTCTCTCTTACCTCACCGTTCCAGCCGTCACCTGCAAGCCAGTGCAACAGTTAATGAGACTGCCATTAATCGTTCTGTTCAATTTTACTTTCACTTTTGCGTATTTGGCCGCGCGGAGGCTCGTCTGAATTTCCGTTGCGTGATGGAGATCATTCAAGAGAGGAGATAAAATGATTGACTGAACGGTCAGAGACTGCAAAGTGCAAGGCACTCAGTAGGCTGCTGAGCGTGAATATCTAGGTTCAAACTCGGCAGTTATCACTGCACTCGTATTGTTTTAAATTCTTGAGAAAAGTTTATGTGTATACGAACGGCTTAGCGACTCTTGATCAATACAAAAACCGTTTATATTACGTTTTTCATGCTCATGTATCGTCGGTAGATGCTATTTTCAAAAAAAGGTCCGCCTCTCATTATCAGCCAATTGCACTTGTTAGTCACTTTTCCAGTCCTTGCAGCGTCCTTCAACACTCATCTATCCTCACAGCTTGTCTCCCTGCCTCCGCTGGCGCTCCGCCTCGTCTCCCTGTGACGAGGTGAATGGAGACAATAAGCATAGAGATTCCGCTCACATTCCATGAGGAATGACGTCCTCTCAAGGGTCTGTGCCAGTCCGGAATTGTGAAACCGCAATGCTCGGATTCCGTTCTGCTCTAGTCTCGCTGACCGCCGCGATCCTCTTGGCATAGCCTCGGGGCAAACTGACACGCCTGACTGTGCGGGCGGCAGAGTGCAGAGGTCAGGGGGGCGGGGCAGAGAGACGGAGCGGGGGCGGGGAGAGCGGTGGAGGGCGGGGCAGAGGGGCGGAGGAGCGGTCAGCTGAGAGATCGGTGCCGTATTGTTGGGGAACAACAACAACAGGGTGTGGGAATAAGGCGACTGCGGTTAGGAGAGCATCGCCTGGTTTGGGGAGCGTGAAATTTACAACGGGATTTGTGAATTGTGGTTTAGAGCATGTCAAACTGACTTTTGAGTTTATGAGGAACATGATTGGCTTGGTATTTAACTATCAGAAATATATTTGCACAGGCACCGCGGAACAATATTATATTGCTTAGAAATTTTTAAAACTTTTTTTTTTGCTTTTTATGACTACATGGTACCGAGGTGGCTAATTCGTGCGCACATTTCTTGGAATATTTTATTCGTTGCCTTACCCTGCTCCCGCGAAGTCTGCTTCTCTCACCGTTCAGCCGACCCTCCCCGTCTGCCAGTTTGCTCCTCTACCGCCTCCGGTGTGCCCCGTAGCATCCGTGATCCGCTCTGCGTGAGGCCCAGTGTTCGCCACGGGCCGGGCCAGCCCAACGGGCCATGGGCCGGGCTGGGCTACGGGCTGGGCCGGGCCCCCAAATATCATTAGTTAACGGGCTATGGACGGGCCGGGCCAAGAGCTTTGTGGACTATGGGTTTTGCGACTAATGTCAATTTAAGAAAATTTGGAAACTGATGCAAACAAAACCCACTGGGAAAATACTAAAACTAAACCAAATTTAAGCAATGTGAAAGAAAACCTACTTCATATTGAATTTTGGGAATCTTGAGAATTATCCAATATCACATCATGTCACACATAGGAGGGTTTTCATAAAAATTCCGCAACCAAAAAGATCAGAGAATCTCTAGCATCATTGGTTTGTTAATAAAAGTTAAAATGTAGTTATCAGAATAACTTACTTAGCACTACAACTCCAAAAACTAAGAAGCCACTCAACAATGATGGGCTACAGGGCTACATTAAGTTTAACACTTATATATGGCGATAGTGAGACAATTCCAACACAGTCTTTTTTCCTTCACCGACGGCTTTTTAACGAACAGAACCTTAAAAGGATACTCACGAAACACACTGTAAGTAACGAGGAATTCTACAGAGTATTTCGCGATGAAAGCTTCCTTAAATGTCCATAAATTTGTCAAAATAAATCACAACAACAACAGCCCAGCCCCTTCTCAACAAAATTTGCGATCATCATGGCGCTATGTTTATGTGGCGGCATCTATAGGTGGTAGCATCATAGTATACACCAAGATTACTTTACTACTCGTATCGTATACACAACAGTATATCAAATAAATACGTTTTCTAAGTGAGTATCAAGCTGAAAAACAAAATGAAACAAATAGAAAATAAAACCTAGATCACAAAGTCTGAAAACTCGAACGAAAAACAAAATAAGAACTTGATTATATATGTTTTATTATACAATTGGTCAGAATCGCTACCTGCCGCAGCTGCGACAATCAAGAAGTGTTCGCTCATTTTCAATTGATGATGATGATGCGTAAAAGTCGCAAAAGTACCCAATGACATTTCAAATTTACCATGTTTTCTGCTTACGCTGCTAGCGATATCCATATCTTGAAAAGACTCTAACATAAAATAGCAAGGAAAGCAGCAGATAGTTGTCCACAGGGGGCTGTCATCCCGGGACCACCCGTGTATTATTCGCCAATCAGCTTAACACTACCAGTGACGTCACTGGAGGACCGCCAATCGGGGCCGGCCGGTCGGCCGGCCGGGCCCGTAGAAGGCCAAACGCAGACGTTTTCAGAAAAGCGTAAGCCGTATAGATAAAGAGGTGGATGGATTTTTGTTGTGATTCGGCTCTCCAAGAGTGCGTCAGGGTATGAGGACCCGGACAAAGGTCATGGTGAACCGGCATCTGATAAAATTCGCTCACCACTTAGCAGCCGACTTCGACCCGTCACCCTCGTAAAACACAAAAACTTGCAGGTCATCAATCCACCTGCATCTCTGCATCTGCTTACTACCTATATCGACTAGTTACTGCAGCTGTTTTGGAGCGGCTCACGGCCGATAACACACCGGGCGTGCGCTAGCCGCTGGTGCTAAGCGCTAACCATTGAGTGCGCGTGGCCGACTGCCGCCCCGATGGCGCTGGCCCCCGGCACCGGCGCGGCGCTGCTGATCCATGGAGGGGGGGGGGGGCTGCTAATTAGTTGAGCCGGAATTGGGATAGAAGCCGGTATGGGATTGGGATAGAAGCTCAGCGAGACTAAGGGATTGTGTGGTGCCTTCGGTAAG